AAGAGGCCCGAGTGGGTGGCAGGCAGAGCCAGCCCCTCACTCACCTGGGCTGAGGCATTGGCCTGGAGCTCTCGCACGACTTGCCCCTGGTGTAGAATCTGGAGCTGCAAGGGCACCTGGGCTGGTCCTGCAACAGCCACACATGTCGACACCCCTGGGAGGCAGGGGCGCCCCCAATGCCCTCACGAGCTTTGCCCCCACCCACTTACCCCCACTCCTGGGTTCCAGCAGCCCCCGGAAGAGCAGCAAAAAATGCAAGGAGTCCTCTGTGTCACTGAGAGCAAGTAGAGTGATGCCCCCCACGCCCTGCTGTGCAGGGTCTTCCAGGGTCAGGATGGCACTGAAGGTCTCTAGGGAGCGGGGGGGCCGTAAGAGCTGATTCGAAAGTCCCCTCCTCAGCCCACCCCATTCCTGGAAACAAAGAAGACCCAGAACTTCCCATCTAGGGAGGTCGGCTCCCCTTACCTGCAGCCAGAGCCCGGTGACGGATGAGAGGCCCCCAGACCTCCCCTGAGGGGTGAGTGGGCGTCACGAGAGCCACATGCAGCTGCTCTGCCCTAAGGAGCCGCAGGGACAACCGAGGCACTCCCCGCCACACCCCACAGACCTAGAACAGAGAGACAGTATACAGGACAGGCCAGCTGAGGGGCCCAGCCCTGGTGAGGAAGAATACGGGCAGCAGGCACCAGCTTCTCCTAGCAAGCTTGAGAAGGGAGCTCTGGAACCAGATGCTTGGGTTCACATCCTAGCTCCACCACTTACTAGCTGTATGACCTTGAGCAAATCACATTCTGCTACTGAGCCTCGGTTCCCTCATCTGTAAAATGGGCATCATTACGTCAGTGCCTTCCTGCCACTGGGCTGAGGCCCAAAGGAGGCAATGCATGGCAAGCCCTCGGCACATCGCTCAGACTGGACAAGCGCTCAGAAATGGCATCATCTCACCAGGCCTTCCTGGGTGGGGGCTGCCGGGTGTTCAAACAGGACGCTGCCATTGGAGTCTGAGAAGCGAACCCTGGTGGGGCGGTCCAGCCTGGGAAAGAGGAGAAGGGTGAGGGGGGGCTCCAAGCCTGGGCTAGAAGCAGCCCCTCCCAGCTCTCCCAATTCTGCTTCTCCGCCCCCCCAGCTGACCCCTCCTTCCTCCCTCCCTCCCTCCCTCCCTTTTCTCACCGCCGGTAGGAGATGGAGAAGCGCAGGCTGGAGCGCTGCAGCGAAACCCGGGCCCGTGCCACCGCCTGCGACCTCGGCCCGGTCAGCAGCGCCACGAAGTCTGCGAGGGGAGGGAGAGGGCCCGAACACCGTTACCCGCCGCTGCGGTCGGGCCCCGACCATGACCCAACCCCTCGGCCCCCGCCTACCAGTGTGGCCGTCACCGCGCGCCCGATCCTCAGCGCCGGGCTCCCCAGGGTCGCTATAGCTGCGGTGCTCCGGGTCCCGCGGATATTCGAAGGCCAGACCCGACGGCTGCCGCTCGGGGCCGCTGCGCTCTGCCCCGGGGGGTGGAGGACCCAGGCTTCATCTGGCCATGGGGAGGGCCAGCTGGCCGCCCCGATCCCCGTGGCCCGGGACCTAGGGTCGCGGCCCGGCTGCCCTCCTCCCGCGGCGGAGCGCGCCTTACCCTGGGGACAGCTCTGGCAGCAGTGTCCGGGCAGCTGGCGCGGCTGTCTGCAGGTCAGGGCTGGGCACTCGGGGGTGATGTTCTTGCAGCTGACCCTGCCCGGGCCCCTCAGGCGGCGACCCCACTGAGACTGCTTGCGAGAAGGCGGAAAGCAGGATGAGTGCAAGACGCCAACCGGTGAGACCCAGGGGCGGTGGGGGCGGTCCCGGGACCAGGGCAGGGTCGTCCCGCTGAGTTGGACCGCTCGGCCATTTAGAAACCGCTTGACTTAACCTGTCTGGGCCTGGGGGTCCCTCTCTGGAAAAGGGGGATAATAATATAATCTATCTAGCAGGGTTGTAGTGGAAACTGAGAGACACGTAACGGGGTTGGCACAGAGCCGGACACGTAGTGGGCGATCGATGACAGTCAACACCTGAGACTTGAAGGAGGCCATCCCCCATCCCCTCCTCGACTGGAAAAATATCCCAACACATCCCCGTCCGCGAACTCGCCCCCTTTCTCCTCCACAGCTCCGGGTGCACTCCGACGTCCCAGGACCCCAGCGCTCCCCCACGCCCGAGGGACCCGGCCTTGGCCGCGGGGTCCACTCACCGCCTCGCAGGCGCACAGCACGCAGCGCATCACCCCGAAGGGCTCCCCCAGGTCCGGATGCCACGTCTCGTCGAAGGCATAGACCTTCCCGCCGAAGGCGCAGCCTGCGGGAACGGGCTTGGCTGGCGGCCGCTGCCCCGCTCCTGCCCGCCGGGCCTGGGTCGCCGGGCACCACGCGCCTCGCGGCCCGCGCCCACCCCTCCGAGCTCTCTGCGCCGAGCCACCTGCGCCCGGCGCCCCCTCCGGGCGGGTGCGGACTTGCCCGGAGCCGGAGTCCCCGCCCGCGCCTCCCCCGGGGCGCCCACCTACCTGCCGCTCCCCGAGTGGGCAGCAGCTCCTTCTCGGGCCGGATGGGCAGCGCGGGGGGCTCGGGG